ATGGCGTCCCATCATAACATCCATCACCATGGCCGGCGCTTGAGTTCTGGTGGCCAACCGGTTCAGAAGGTGCACATTTTCAGCTTTGGGCAAGTAAACACGATCATTTTGTTTGTTTACATTGTTCGGCTGGACAGCGAATTTTTTCTCATCGGAGATCGGAGAAAACCATATTCGGCAGTTCACCCCTTTCGTCCAAGTGAAGCAACTCTTTAGCCCTCTTTTGTGGCTATTTTCTTTCCGATGCGGTGTAAGTTCTTCTAGTTTTTGAGGGTTCAATGGCTTTGCCCCACCCGTGCTCATTTTTCGATATTTACCGAATGCCGAATATTGCGAGATATGTTCAGCCCACGAGCCATTTTTGGCCACTGTGACGGGGGTTGCGATCAAGTCGCTTCGCTTCTTTAATTTTCCAAGCATTTCTGCTGATTTTGCTGTTTTTTTCCGTCCACTTCCTGGATCTGGGGCTACTCGACCACTATCACGGTATAGAGTGATGGGTCGATGGTCCGAGCCACAAAATATTTATTCACATTTAAATTCTGAAGTGCTCTAACGATAGCCACTTGTGGCCACCTCCAGGCCAAATATAAAGAAATCACACCATCCCAGGCTTGAATTCCGAACACGAATAATTTTTTTCCGGGAAAATTCTCACCAAAATGCTTTCGGAGGCTTGTAAACAATATATGCCATTTTTCGGCCAGTGCGATGCGGGTTTCGATCAAGTCGCTTCGCTTCTTTAATTTTCCAACCATTTCTGCTGATGTTGCTGTTTTCCTCCGTCCACTTCCTTGACGTCGGGCTACTCGGTAACGAGTGATGGGTCGATGGTACGAGCCACAAAATATTTCTTCACATTTAAATTCTGGAGTGCTCTAACGATAGCCACTTGTGGCCACCTCCAGCCAAATATAAAGAAATCACCCTATCACACGCTTGAATTCCGAACACGAATAATTTTTTTCCGGGAAAATTCTCACCAAAATACTTTCGGAGGCTTGTAAAGAATATAATGAACTGTCACTGGCAGAATTTTAGCAGCTGTCGGACGAGTGGCTTTGAAATGACGATAGCCACTTGTGGCCACCTCCAGCCAAATATCAAAGAAATCACCCTATCACACGCTTGAATTCCGAACACGAATAACTTTTGTTCCGGAAAATTCTCACCAAAATGCTTTCGGACCCTTGTAAAGAATATAATGAGCTGTCACTGGCAGAATTTTAACAGCTGTCGGACGAGTGGCTCAGAAATGACGATAGCCACTTGTGGCCAGCTCCAGCCAAATATAAAGAAATCACCCTATCACGCTTGAATTCCGAACACGAATAACTCTTGTTCTGGAAAATTCTCACCAAAAATTTTTGGAGGGCTGGTAAACAACATAATGAGCTATCACTGGCTGAATTTTAACAGCTGTCGGACGGGTGGCTTAAAATTGACAGGAGTCTAAAGTTTGTGGCAGTTTTTCCTTCTCACCCTGTATATGCATATAAGTGTGTGTGTATATGTGTGGTGTCACATAATCTGGTTGTTCCGAACATATCCTTCTGTTGTCGTTTCTTGTTATCCCTTCGAAAAACTGTTTGCTTTGCTTGCCTTAACATCATTTGCCGGGATCTCTTCTCTTCTCTCCTTCGATGGCTGGCTGACTGACTGACATTATTGTCATTTCTCGGTGTGTCATCAGTCATTTGTCGTCATTATGTCGCTGATGTTTCTTCTTCTCCTGATGTTGTTTTCTGCTGAGCCTGTCCCATTGCAAGGAGGACAAGAAAAAGAAGACCGATTATCCGCTTTATTTCATGTCGTTTTAGCCTTTCAGCCATTGTTACAGCATCGCACATTGACATGAACTCAATGCACTTAAACAAACACACACGCACACACACACACACATGCCGGTCCACAGGGAACGCCAGGACTCCAATACCACCCTAATACCACAATATGAGCCATATTTGAGCATTGGTGTTAATGTAATTGTCTGATATCCTCTGTCTTCCAAAAACCCCTTTCCTTACCCTCCACCTCCACTCCTTGAACCCCCTGACTCTCCATCTTTTTTTTTTTTTTCTGAACAACAAAGCTTTTATGGTGTCTCCTGTCTTCCTTCGGGTTTGTTGACAGACTTGATGGCTCAGTGACTTATTTGGGAGAAACGGAGAGATGAGAAAGGGGGGACAGGGAGGACTTTTTGTATTCAATGACATGCTTGAATTGCATGGCTGCTGCTGCTGCTGGCCCGAGATGCAACAATGGCAAATGGAGTGCAGAGTGTGTGTGCCTGTGTGGCTTTCCATATTTTAATGCGCTTAAACAATACCGGATGTATGTTAGGCCCCATTGTGTTAACGTTCATCCAGCATCCAGCACTCATCCGCTCTCTCTTTAAAATCTTGGTTGGGGGGGGGGGGGGTATTGAATTTAATTCCTTATAGACCATTACACATGTATTGGATGTGTAATTCGAACAAGAAAAACCAGTAAAGAAACTCCTGCAGCACAATTAATTTGAAATCGGAAAAAGATATATACATGGGAGCTATAGCTATATCTGAACCGATCTTCACCAAATTTGGCATACGAGCTTCTAGACTTAATTCGGTCGTAAGTGCCAAATTCCATCCCATTTGGACAAATATTAGACCTTTGGTGCAGAATAAATCGTAAATCGGACGAAGTTATATATGTGGTAGGTATATTCAAATCTGGACCGATCTCGATAAAATTTAGCAAAGGTATTTCTGAGCTGCATTTAATATATTTCCCCAAATATTGTTGTTACGGAGTGCATATTACGGCTGCGGAGGACAAAAATAACAAATCGGATGAACCGCATATATATGGTAGCTATATCCAAATCTGAACCGATCTTCACCAAATTTGGCATACTAGCTGCTAGACTCAATTTGGTCGTATGTGCCAAATTCCATACCATTTGGACAAATATTAGACATTTGGTGCACAATCAAATATAAATCGGACGAAGTTATATATGTGGGAGCTATATCCAAATCTGAACCGATTTCGATAAAATTTGGCAAAGATATTTCTGAGCTGCATTTGATATATTTCCCCGAATATCGATGTTACGGAGTGCATATTACGGCTGCGGAGGACAAAAATAACAAATCGGATGAACAATATATATATATGGGAGCTATAGCTATATCTGAACCGATCTTCATCAAATTTGGCATACTAGCTTCTAGATTCAATTCGATCGCAAGTGCCAAATTCCATCCCATTTGGACAAATATTAGACCTTTGGTACAGAATAAAAGGTAAATCGGACGAAGTTATATATGTGCGAGCTATATCCAAATCTGAACCGATTTCGATAAAATTTGGCATACTAGCTCCTAGACTCAATTCGGTCGTAAGTGCCAAATTTCATCCCATTTGGGCGAATATTAGACGTTTGGTGCACAATCAGATTTAAATCGGACGAAGTTATATATGTGGGAGCTATAGCTATATCTAAACCGATCTTCACCAAATTTGGCATACTTGCTTCTAGACTCAATTCGGTCGTATGTGCCAAATTTCATCCGATTTGGACAAATATTAGACATTTGGTGCACAAAAAAACACAAATCGGACGAAGTTATACATGGGAGCTATAGCGAAATCGGAACCGATCTCGATAAAATTTGGCAAAGATATTTCTGAGCTGTATTAGATATATTTCCCTGAATATCGTTGTTACGGAGTGCATATTACGGCTGCGGAGGACAAACATAACAAATCGGATGAACCGTATATATATGGGAGCTATATCCAAATCTGAACCGATCTTCACCAAATTTCGCATACTAGCTTCTAGACACAATTGGGTCGTATGTGCCAAATTCCATCCCATTTGGACAAATATAAGACGTTTGGGGCCCAATAAAAGGCAAATCGGACGAAGTCATATATGGGAGCTATATCTAAATTTTTACCGATTATCTCCAATTTCAATGGGGTTCGTCCTTGGGCCAAACAAATGTTGTTTGGAAAATTTAATCTCAATCGGATAATAAATGTGACCTGTATTTTGTTCACAGGAATACATGGACAGACGGACGGACATGCATAAATCGACTCAGAATGTGATTCTATGGAGATCCTCAAAAGTCACTATGGGTCTATCTCGTTTCCTTTTGCCTGTTACAAACAAATGCACAAAGACATAATACCCGGACCACCTTGTGGATCAAGAGTGACCCTCGCCCAAAATTTCAAGATTCTTGCTTAAGCCGGTTCGTCAGGGCGATAATGAATTTCGAAAAAAAAGATCTCCCTTTAACTCTTTTTTATATTTTTTTCCGACATAATTTCCCGTCCCGATACTGTTCTGTATCGTATTATAGAAAATTCATAGATACGGCCTTCTGAACCCCACAATTCCCATTTGGCGTAATGTGGTATTCTTTGTGGGTGTGGGTGTGTTTGTGCTTTGACTATCTGATACCAATCCGATTTAACCCAAATATAACAATTGCAATGTACCATCCCCCTCCCTCCTTCCACTTCTTTCTTCAACTGATATCTCATTGTTCTATTGTTCCCAACACGCTAAAAGATTGATCTGCAGAGCAAATAATAAAATGAGGAAATCTTGGTATTTATCAGCTGGGAAAAGGGTTCCGGGTTAATAGAAAAAAAACACACACACACACACAAAACTTTGTCCTTTCAGTTTTAAATGTGGCAACTTTTTATTTTTATTTTTGTTTTTTTTTTTTTTTATTTGCCTTTCAAAGCTATTTTAAGTAGTGACAATGCCTGCCTGCCTGTCTCTGGAAATAGGTCAGCCGTGCAATTCTTGAAACAGAAATTTTTTCAGCTCCGCTATTCAGCATTGCATAGATAGCTATCAGCCGTAGTGGTATCGTCATCAGCATCTTTGTCATCATCGTCATCGCATCATCTCCACTTAACACTAAAAATATTTTTCTTCGTTCGCTTCTGACTTTTGATTTTTTTTTTCGCTTTTTTTTTCTTTGCAGAATCTGATACCGGAGGCTGGGGACCATGGAGCGAATGGACGCCCTGCTCGACAAATTGTCTGGGTGGCACCCGGAATCGCTATCGTTTTTGTGATTCACCACCGCCGCGTTATGGCGCGAAATTTTGCGAGGTATGTATGGAAGTATGAAAATACTAAAGGTGTATGTATGTGTGTCGGTATATGATTTTAAGGATCCCTAACAAGGAATGATTACTTACTGAAAAGACTAGGACATATTCACTGACTGACTGCCATGCCATGACTAAGGTGAACCTGAAGAGACACTTAAGAAATGGCAGGTAAAATGCCATAAAACTTAAGAAATATTTTTTGTTTGGAGATATATGGTTCGTGGGGGCCTCAAAAAATTTTTGCAGAATTTTCGCTTCCAATATAATTTGGAATAATGAAAATTCAGAGGGAAAATAAATTTTAAAAAATAAAAAAAAATTAAAAAAATATTTTTTGATCCAAAATTTCATTTTATTTTTTTATTTTGAGACCATTAAAAAAATAAAAAAATAATAATAAAAATATATATTTTCATCCAATTTTTTTTAATTTTGAGACCATATTGCGTTTTTTTTATCGTGAGGGGTCAAAAATTTTTTGCAGAATTTCTCTTTCCATTAATATCTGAAATAGTAAAAAAAAAAATAAATTTAAAAAATTAAAAAAAAAAATATTTTTTGATCCAAAAATTCATTTTTTTTTTAATTTTGAGACCATTCCAAAAAATTAAAAAAAAAATTAAAAAATATATATTTTATGATCAATTTTTTTTAATTTTGAGACCATATTGCGTCTTTCCAATATAATCTGGAATAATGAATATTCAGACGGAAAATAAATTTAAAAAAAATAAAAAGAATTTAAAAAAAAATATTTTTTAATCCAAAATTTATTTATTTTTTTAATTTTGAGACAATTAAAAAAATAATAAAAAATAATAAAAATATATATTTTCATCCAATTTTTTTTAATTTTGAGACAATATTGCGTGTTTTTAACGTGAGGGGTTCTTAACTTTTTTGCAGAATTTTCGCTTACAATATAATCTGGAATAATGAAAATTCATAGGGAAAATAAATTTAAAAAAATAAAAAAAAATATTTTTTAATTCAAAATTTCATTTTATTTTTTAATTTTGACACCATTTAAAGAAATAAAATAAAAAACATTAAAAAGTATATATTTTTTAATTCAATTTTTTTAAATTTTGCGACTATTAAAAAAATAACAAAAATTAAAAAAAAAATATTGCTTTGATCCAATTTTTTTTTTAATTTTAAGACTCTTAACTTTTTTGCAGAATTTTCGCTTCCAATATAATTTAGAAAAATTAAAATTCAGAGGGAAAATAAAATTTAAAAAATAAAAGAAACATTTTTAATCCAAAATTTCATTTTTTTTTAATTTTGAGATCATTAAAAAAAATAAATAAAAATTTAAAAAATATATATATTTTTTGATCCCATTTTTTTTTAATTTTGAGACCATATTGCGTTTTTTTTTATCGTGAGGGGCTCAAAACTTTTTTGCAGAATTTTCGCTTCCAATATAATTTGGAATAATAAAAAATTCAAAGAAAAAATAAAATTAAAAAAATGTTTTCTTGATATAATTTATTTTTAATTTTGAGTCCATTTAAAAAAAATTAAAAAATATATATATTTAGATCCATTTTTTTAATTTTGAGATCATATTGCGTTTTTTTATCGTTATATAATTTGGAATAATGAAAATTCATATGAAAAATAAATATAAAAAACTAAAAAAAAAATAAATAAAATATTTTTTGATTCAAAATTTTATTTTATTTTTTTTTAATTTTGAGACCATATTGCGTGTTTTTATCGTGAGGGGTTTTTAACTTTTTTGCAGAATTTTCGCTTCCAATATAATCTGGATAAATGCAAATTCATAGGAAAAATAAATTAAAAAAAATAACAAAAAAATTAAAAAAAAATTGAATCCAAAATTTCATTTTATTTTTTTATTTTGAGACCACTTAAAAAAATATAAAAAAATTAGAAAAAAAAAATATATTTTGAGCCAATTCTTTTTTAATTTTGAGACCATATTGCGTTCTTTTATCGTGAGGGGCTCAACACTTTTTTTGCAGAATTTTCGCTTCTAATATAATCTGGAATAATGAAAATTCTTAGGAAAAATAAATTTAAAAAAAATTAAAACAAATATTTCTTGATCTAAAATTTCATTTTATATTTTAATCTAACCTTTTTTGCAGAATTTTCGCTTCCAATATAATTTGGAAAAATGAAAGTTCTTGTGAAAAATAATTTAAAAAAAATAAAAATAAATTAAAAATATATTGTTTAATCCAAAATTTCATTTTTTTTAATTTTGAGACCATATTGCGTTTTTTTTATCGTGAGGGGCTCAAAACTTTTTTGCAGAATAATGAACATTCAGAGGGAAAATAAAATTTAAAAAAGTAAAAAAAAAAATTTTTTTTAAATATTGTTGGATCCATAATTTCATTTTATTTTTTTATTTTGAAACTATTTTAAAAAAATAAAAAAGAAAATTAAAAAATATATATTTTGATCAATTATTTTTTATTAATTTTGACACCATTGCGTTTTTTTATCGTGAGGGGCTCAAAATTTTTTTTGTAGAATTTTCGCTTCCAATTTAATTTGGAATAAGGAAAATTCATAGGAAAAATAAATTAAAAAAAATATTTTTGGATCTACGATTTTATTTTATTTTTTAAATTTTGAGACCATTAAAAAAAATAAAAATATATATATTTTTGTCCAATTTTTTTTTTAATTTTGAGACCATATTGTGTTTTCTTTTATCGTGAAGGGCTCAAAACTTTTTTGCTGAATTTTCGCTTCCAATATAATCTGGAATAATGAAAATTCATAGGAAAAATAAAATTAAAAAAAAAAAAATAAATAAAAATATTTAAAAAAATATATTTTTAATCCAAAATTTCATTTTATTTTTTTACCATTTAAAAAAAAAAAATAAAAAAATATATTTTTCATCCAATTTGTTTTTAATTTTGAGACCATATTGCGTTTTTTTTTATCGTGAGGGGCTCTTAACTTTTTTGCAGAATTTTTGCTTCCAATATAATTTGGAATAATAAAAAATTCAGAGACAAAATAAAATTAAAAAAAAAAAATATTTTTTGATCCAACATTTTATTTTTTAATTTTGAGACCATTTAAAAAATAAAAAAAAATTAAAAAATATATATATTTTGATCCTTTTTTTTAATTTTGAGACCATATTGCGTTTTTTTTTTATCGAGAGGGGCTCAAAAATTTTTTGCAGAATTTTCGCTTTCAATATAATCTGGAATAATGAAAATTCATAGGAAAAATAAATTTAAAAAAATTAAAAAAAAAATATTTTTTAATCCAAAATTTAATTTTTTAATTTTGAGACCATTTAAAAAAAATAAAAAAGAAATTTAAAAAATTTATATTATTTTATCCATTTTTTTTTAAATTTTGAGACCATATTGCGTTTTTCTATCGTGAGGGGCTCATAACTTTTTTGCAGAATTTTTCTTTCCATTAATATCTGAAATAGTGAAAAAAAAAATAAATTTAAAAAATTAAAAAAAAAAAATATTTTTTGATCCAAAAATTTATTTTTTTTTACTTTTAAGACCATTAAAAAAATAAAAAAAAAAATAGGAAAAATATATATTTTTGATACATTTTTTTTTTAATTTTGAGAACATATTGCGTTTTTTTCGCTTCCAATAAAATCTGGAATAATGAATATTCAGACGGAAAATAAATTTAAAAAAATAAAAAGAATTTAAAAACAAAAAATTTTGATCCAAAATTTAATTTTATTTTTTTAAATGGTCTCAAACATTTAAAAAAATTAAAAAAAATATATTTTATGATCTATTTTTTTTTTTTTTTAATTTTGAGACCATATTCCTTTTTTTTATCGTGAGGGGCTCTTAACTTTTTTGCAGAATTTTCGCTTCCAAAAAAATCTGGAACAATGAATATTTAGAGGGAAAATAAAATTTAAAAATATAAAAAAAAATTTTTTTTGGATCCAAAATTTCATTTTATTTTTTAATTTTGAGACCATTAAAAAAAATTAAAAAAAAAATTAAAAAATATATATTATTTGATTTAAAAAACATAAAAAAAAAATTAAATATATATTTTTAATCCATTTTTTTTAACTTTGAGACCATTTTGCGTTTTTTTTTATCGTGAGGGGCTCTTAACTTTTTTGCAGAATTTTCGCTTCCAATATAATCTGGAATAATGAAAATTCATAGGAAAAATAAATTAAAAAAAAATATAAAAAAATATTTTTTAATCCAAAATTTCATTTTATTTTTTAATTTTGAAACCATTTAAAAAAATAAAAAAAATTAAAAAACATATATATTTTCATCCATTTTTTTTAATTTTGAGACCATATTGCGTTTTCTTTTATCGTGAGGGCCTCAAAACTTTTTTGCTGAATTTTCGCTTCCAATATCATCTGGAATAACGAAAATTCATAGGAAAAATAAATTCAAATTACATTTATTTCATTTCATTTTTTAATTTCAAGACCATTTAAAAAAATAAAAAATATATATTTTTATGATCCAATTTTTTTAAATTTTGAGACCATATTGCGTTTTTTTATTGTTTATTATTTTTTTCTTAAAAATTATGTTTTTTTTTCAATTTTTTTTTTAATTTTAAGGCCATGGTGCGTATACGCGTTGACATTAATTATTCGCACCAAAGGACAATTTGTACCAAATGGTGGAGGGTATTCAAAGTTCGGCCCGGTCGAACTTAGAGCTTTTTTACTTGTCTTTAATATTATTTTTAAAAAATCTAAAACTTTCCCACTTAACTCATTTTCCATTCCACCTCCTCCCCCCTTCCACCTCCACCATTTAAACACTGCATAATTGTAGATTGCTATACAGTCATTAGTTTCCAAACTGATAGTTTTACTCCAACCTGCATTCATTCATATCGCGTATCTCTCTTCCATCTTCTCCCCCCCAGACCGCATCCCCCCAATCATTTCAGCCACGCATTTTTTCGACAATAAATGTGACAATATTTTCTTTGGCATTTCCATATTTCATATTCGTCTACCTTTCCCGCTTC